ACACTTCCACACAGAAGACATCAAAGACATTGGTACATCAAGACGCCAACACATTCACCACACCACCAACACCACCTACACACTCAATACACCGAACACACTGGCACATCAAGACAACAACACATCCACCACACCACAAGCACCACCTTCACAGACCAAAACTTTCACACACTAGCACCATCACACCACCAACACCACCTTTACAGACCATACAACATAAACACTAACACATCAAGATACCAACACATCCACCACACCACCATCACCACCTCCACACATCAAAACCTACACACCAACACCACCTCCACACACTAGGCACCAAACAAACTAGCACATCAAGACACCAATACATCCACCACACAACAAGCACCACCTCCACACACCAATACATCCACACACCAGCACCATCACACCACCAAAACCACCTCCACACACCAGACATCGAACACACTGGCACATCAAGACACCATCACATTTTCCACACCACCAACACCACCTTCACACACCAGACACCAAACACACTGGCACATCAAGACACCAACACATCCACGACACCATAAGCACCACCTTCACACATCAAAACATCTATACGCTAACATCGCCACATCACCAATACCTCCCGCAAACACTAGAAGCCAAACACCTCCACCAGATACAAATTCATGTTAAAATCCTAACCTAAATTTAACACATACACAACACTTGAAATATTGCTATTAACAAATCCAACAATAACCATTCACAACAAATAGAATGCACTGCAAAGCCCTCTGAAATAACCATCCAGTTGCTTCATCCAATTTTTAAATTCCCACTAAAATATCAAAATACATAAGAAAAATCCAAAGCTTTAACCATTCACAATAAATAGATCAAATCCACAAACCAAACATACAAAATACAGGGCACTTGATGCATTGCTAACAACAAAACACCAAAAAATCCACGTTCGCTGCATAGCACAAAGAAGAGAGATGTTATAAGAGATGAAGAGCAGAGAAAGGAGGTAGAAGAGGGAATACTACACAGAGTCATTAATGTGCACAACCAGCAAACCGAGCTGAATAAGAGAAGGGAG